AAAGCCCTAAGGACCAAAACGGAGCTGCAAGGAATGAGAAGTTATTGGGAAGATGGCAGAGCTGGGAGGAGCTCAGAAGAGCAACCCAGGTCATTATCTTAAACTCGCAGGCCCACTCCTTAGCTCCACATTTGTCATGGGCGCACCTGATTCTGATGAACTACAGAGCATCGCCAGATCCCAGACTGACTCCCATGTGATGTGTACTGGGCAGATTCAGATGGCATTGCCCGAGCTTTTAAAACAGTCTGCCCTTGGAGCCACAACCAACTGAAATTACATTGCAACCCATGGCCAGAACCTAACTGTCAATTGCATGCCAAATCACAAGTATCAACATTCTCCAAAGGATCTTAAAAAGACCCAGAGTCTCATACTATTCAAAATACTCAAGATACAATCCAAAATTGGCAGAGATGGTCGGAATGTGCTAAAAAACTATGAACCATATCTGCCTATAAGAAACTCAATTCAAAGAACAGGGAAAATACTTATTACGAGAAAAGAAGAAAGGTCTCAAATCAATAATGTAAACTTCTACCTAAAGAAACTTGGAAAAAGAAGAGGAATATAGGCCCAAAGCAAGCAGAAAGGGGCAAGCAATAAAGTTAAGAGCAGAAATCAATGAATCTGAAAAAAATGAAACTAAAAGCTGGTTCATTAATCAATAAAATTGATAAATCTGTAGTAAGACTGGGAGGAAAAAAACCCAAAAAAGACAAATCACCAATATCAAGAATAAAAGATGGGATTTCACTATAGATCCTCAGGTACTTAAAACATGAAAAGGTAAAAGGAAATATAACAAACTGTGCATACATGCAACTTAGATGAAATTGCCAATCTTGAAAAGCACAGACTATCAAATCTTAGCCAACATGAAATAGATAATCTCAGGACTTACATAATTAAGTAAATTGAATTTGTACTTAAAATTTAAATGCAGATCATTTATTTAGTAAATTCCACCAAAAATTTACAGAAGAATTAACACCACCTCTACACAACCTCTTCCAGAAAACAGAAGAGAGAAACAGCCAGTACATTTAATGTGGCTAGCACAATCCTGATAACCCAAACCAGAAAGATGTCCCAAAACAAGAAATCTACAAACCAATATCCCTCATGGAAATATCACAACAAAATGATAGCTAATCCAATGTAACAATATATAAGAGAATAGTGTACCAGACCATGTATTGCTTATCTTGGAAATGCAAAGTTGTTTTAATATTTAAAAATTTGTCAGTGTAATCTGTATGAAAGAAAGAAAACCTACCTAATCATATCGATTAATACAAAAATACATATGATAAAAATTAAAAATCCATAAGTAAAAACTTGGGAATCTAGAAACAGAAAGGATTTCCTCAAACAAAGGATTTGTTTGTTTCATTTCATTTTGTTTTAGTACTGGAGTTTGAATTCTGTTTTGTGCTTGCCAGGCAGCCAGCACTTGAGCCCAGCCCTTAAAGGATTTTTAAAATTTCCAAAGCACTACTGCCAATATCATTCTTGCCTTTTATTGTTTTGAGATGAAGTCTTGCTATGTGTCCAAGCAAACTCCTGAGAGCAAGTGGTTCTCCCACCTGAGCCTCCTCAACAGCTGAGTCCTGAACAACTGGATCTACAGGCAGGCGCCACCATGTCCAACTTGTCCATACCATGTTTGCTTTTTTTTTTTTTTTTTAATTTTACTTTTGGTACTAGGGATTAAACCAGGACCTCACATATGCCATGGCAAGCACTACCTTCCATGCTTACTGTAATACCCTTTTTAACATTGGTGAGTAGGGAGAGAAGAGAGTGAGAGTATAGCAGTCCTGGAAGTAAAGCATGTTTGCAGGGGAAGAGAGGCTTATTCCATCTGGATGTGCTGACTGCGTCCTGCCATGGATGCTGCAGGTGGGCCTTATGTTCTGGTGTTGCCAGAACAAATAGACAACTTTTGGCCATCTCAGGTTTTCTCCAGTAGGCCCTGAAAGGAGGATTAAGGTCATCCTAAGGATGCTGTTATAAACTATGCTAGTGTTTCATTCAATGTTTTTTAAACCTTGGTTGAGGCCTGGTTGAGAACTTGGCTATAGTTTGGTCAAGAAGAGAATCTTTCTTACTTCCCAACTGAATTTTTTTCCAACCTTATCAAAACTCAGGTGACTATACTTACAGGCCTTATTCTGTTCCATTAATCTATGTCTATGCCTATGCCAGAATCACATTATTTTGATTACTGTATCCTTATAGTAAGTCTTAAAATCTCACACTGTGATTCTTCAGTCTTGCTCCCTTTTGTTTTGTTTTCCTTGTGTTACTGGGCTCTTTCCTCTCAAGACTTACACTAACCTAGGCAAGCAGCCCACCACATGAGCCATACCTCCAGTCCTTTTTGCTTTGATTATTTTTCAGATAGGGTCCCGTAGTTTTTGCCTGGGCTGGCTTTAAACCATATTCCTCCTACCTATACCTCTCCTGTAACTGGGATTACAGATGTGAACCGGCATGCCCGGCTTGTTCTTTGAGATAGGGTCTCACTAACTTTTTTGTCCAGGCCTTGAACCATGATCCTCCTATTTACCTCTCAAGTAGCTGGGATTACATATGTGGGCCACTATGCCTGGCTTGTTCATGCTTATCAAAATTAATTTTATTCTAGCTCCTTTGCCTTTCCATATAAGCTTTTTTTTAGTATTAGATGTCACACTCTAGACCCCAGTACATGCTAGGCAAGTGCCTGGCACTGAGCTATATCATTAGCCACCATATAAACTTTAGAAGAAGTTTGTCTGTAGGTCAGGTCAGTTTGGAGAGAATTAGAATCTTTATTATGTTGACCCTTGCAATCCATGAAAACAGTGTGTCTCCCTCATTTCTTTTATGAGTATTTGGATTACCCCATCCAGATATCTGTACATAGCAGACTGACTCCTTGGTATTTCACTTTGGGGAGAAGTGTTATGATGACAATTTAAATTTTTTTGACAGTACTGGCTGGGGTTTGAACTCAGGGCCTTCCACTTGGCTAGGCAAGTGCTCTACCACTTGAGCCACTCTGCCAGTCCAATAATGACATTTTTTAAACTAATTTTTCACTTGTACCTTATTGGTATTAGAAAGACAATTATTGTCTGTGTCAGCCTTGTCTCTTTCAGTTTTGCTAACCTTGTTATTAGTCCTGAGAGGATTTGGTTTTGGTGGTTTTTTTTTCACAGATGACTTGGGGTTCTCTGCACAAATAGTCATGCATAACCATTCAGCAGCTGCCTTTTACCATACTGACCTTGATGTTGCCACGTTTAACCACCATTAGGCCAAATCTGCAATAATGTCCAAACTTCCTCTTGTTGTGGTTACAAGTGCCTGGTTTCTCTGTTCTGTGTTGGCTAAAGATACTGTTTTTGAAAAAGTTTGTTATGGGTATAGGGCCAACTAAAACTATGGTCAATTTCCATTTTTGTTAGATTTTTGAAAAAATTAGAAATGTTGTATTTGAAACTTCAGAGAACCAAAGTATTAACTTGCAAAGTAGGAGAAAATGTTTTACTACATGGGTATGCGAAGTTGAAGACATGGGCCTCTTTAAACATCTTTTATTTGGTATGACTGTCTTGCAGATTGCATTTCTCTGCAGAGAAGGACTTTAAAATATAGTTTGTTCTTTGATTTGTGCTGCAGGGGAGATTAACTAAAATCATTTTTCGTCACCTAGAAGTTCTGGATTGGGGCAGCATAAAACTCTGAACTATATTTGTTATTAAAAAAGCCAGCAGCAACAAAAGATTTTACAACTTCTGAAAATACTTTTCTAACATCTTACTTATAAGAAAACTTACAGTTTAAAACAAGGAATTCTATCCTTTAATTTGTAGACCAAATGGAAAATGATTCTTAGTTTACTTTTTTGGTTAACTGTTAGTTTACTTTTTTGGTTAACTGTTTTCTAAGTAATGAGCAGGCTGCTATGACAAAATACACTGTGTAGCTTATTTTCTAAAGAGTTTCTCACATTTTGGAGGCTGGGAAGTCCAAGATAAGGTGCTAGCCAGTTCATTGTCTGGTGAGAACCCATTCCTCATAGATGGCACCCTCTGCTATGTTGTCCATGGTAGAAGGAAGGAGGAGTACCTCTCCTGCCTCCTTTAAAGGGGACTCATTCCATTTGTGAGTGTTCCACCCTCATGACCTAATCACCTGTCAAGGACCCACTTGCTAGTACCATTGTTTTTTTCTTGCCTTGTTTTCTACAATACCTAGTTTGACACTTTATCTATCTTGATGAAATGATAGTTTTTCTGCCTTTTTATAAGACATCTTTTCATATATACCTCTTTATTGTGCTGCCCTCATAGTAAAAAATTCTACCTTATAGATTTGGGCATTCTGGACTAAGTGTGTGAAAGCTGTACAACAAAAGAGTATACACTTTAGATTTTTGCCAAAAATATAATGTGTTTACGATTTTTATTTGCAAATGAGGAAATGTGCTATATTACAAATGTTTGTAATGAGAATACTTGGCTGCTATAGTTTTGTTGTTGCTGTGTTTTGTTTTTGGTTGGACTGGGGTTTGAATTCAGGGCTTCATGTTTGCAAAGCAGGCACTCTACCACTTGAGCACACTCCAGTCCAAGTGAATTTCTTTTAATCTAAAAAGCTTGATTGTAGTCTGACCAATCTCTGGCTGGTTGTTCAACTTACTTTTCAAGCATTTCTTTCCTGTACTTAAAGTGGGGAAAAAAATTTGTGCTTGAGATGCCTTCCTTTTCTTCTGTCCTGTATTTTTCCTTACCAAGTTCTGCCTCTTCTGCATCAAAATTATAAGGCTAAGAGTTTATGGAATCAAGGAATGGAATGTAACCTTGGCTGTAATTGCATGTAATACTTATTTTATGCTGTAACTGTACGTGGGGAAGAATACAGAAATAAGCTTGGTGATTAGTTTTCTTTCTCCCTCTGAGCATAACTGTGTGTAAACACTGAATTTTTTTTTTTCTGTCTTCTAGTTACAGCAGTTTGGAGCTTGGCCAGATACAGCAACAGAGATGCTAATCTCACAGCTCTTGCAGCTATTGGACCAAGGAAGAAGAAGACCACTAGAATCTGGAAGTGAGGTATACTGAATAGCATTCATTATTTTAGTTTTTATGTCAAGAAAGTCAGAAAGAAGCAAAGCATGGAAATAGTTTTCTCCTGCTCTACACATCCTTTGCCAAATTTTAAAAGCTTACACTTTGCCAGGTTTTTAAGAGGTATAATCCCCTTGAAACTTTATTACTACTTTATTATTACATACTGCCTTACTAGCCATACTGCACACCAGCCATACTGTGTTCACTATTTAGTTTTCTTGTACATAGCTAGCATTTTTTACGCAATCCCTTTTCCCCCTCTGTCTGAAACTGACTTCTTCTAATGAAGACTAAGTCTGCTGTCTTATTTCTCCGTGATCCCTGACAATCTCACTCCAATACCAAGGCTTCTCTGGCTGAGCATGAAATGTGTTTGCATGGTTTAACTGTTCTTATTAGTCTTGTATGAACATT